TACTGCTTTCCATAGCGGTTGAACTAGATTTCATTCCTACCAGCAGCGTAGGAGGGTTCCCCTTTCTCTGCATCCTTGCCAGCATTTGTTGTTCCTGTTCTTTTCTATATTGGCCATCCTAACTGGCGTGAGGTAATACCTCATTGTGTTTTTAATTTGGATTTCCCTGATAATTAGTGATGTGGAGCATCTTTTCATGTGCCTGTTGGGTATCTGAATTTCTTCTTTGGAGAATTGTCTGTTCATATCCTCCACCCATTTTTTAATCAGGTTATTTGCTTTTTGGGTGTTGAGGCATGTGAGTTCTTTATATATTTTGGATATTAACCCCTTGTCAGATATGTCATTTACAAATACATTCTCCCATACTGTAGGATGCCTTTTTGTTCTGCTGATAGTGTCCTTCGCTGTACAGAGCTTTTTAGCATATTTAGTTCCATTTGTTCATTTTTTATTTTATTTCCCTTGCCCAAGGAGATGTGTTTAGGAAAAAGTTTGCTCATGTTTATATTCAAGAGATTTTTGCCTATGTTTTCTTCCAAGAGTTTTATGGACATTAACTGATTTTTTTTAATAGAGTTGATTAAGTATTACCTAGCTCGGAACCATCCAGGTAAAAGTTTGTACAGTGTCAAGCCTAAGCAATAGCCTAAACAATACCCCAATCATGTATCCTGTGGTATGTTAACATTTTGAGGTAGAGGGTACTAATAAAAAATCAACTCATTAAGCATTAGAACTTTGACAAAGGGGGCCAGGGGGCAATAGAGAGGTTGAATGACTTGATACATTCTGCAGATCGCCGAGACTTTACAAAGATAGGTAATGTAGCACTTCTTTACCTCACTGGTCTATATTGGATTATAGCCCCCTTCACCCACCCCTAGATTCAGTCAGAATTGGTATAAGATGGCAGAATGAGTGGCAATGAACAATTCCCAAAGTGTTTCTTAATTTAAGTTGATGTAGGTAAGAGTCTCCATATTGATACTCTGCAAAAGGCAAAAGAATCTTGAGAATAAGGTACACAAACAGGTAATTTAGCCCTGAGAGACAGTATATAACCATTTAGCCAGAACATAGGCCTTAGGCATGTATATTGATCTAGTCAGTTCTTGGTGGGGGATGGGGAGGGGGTGTTAGGATTTCTTGGCTTTCAAATCTGAGAAACTTCCCTGGTGGCAACCATTGAAACTCAAGAATGTGTTGTTGACATGGTAGGGAAATAGAGGATAGGACTTAAGAGCAATATATAATCATGGGATTGATTTCTACTCAGTCCCTACTGAAAGAAAAGGGGAGCAGCATAAATGCATACTCCTCCTCAAAGCCCTCTCAGACCTCTAGGGCAGATTTCCTGCGTAAAATCCTTTTGCACTTAACTGCCCCTACCCTTCAGTAACAGTGACTTGTTGGACAGTCACAAGTTTCAGTCTCATGGTGAATGTGTCTGTTGGGTTAGCATGAAATCCACAAAGCTTCCCGGTGTTCAGGAGGCTGCCTTGTCCACACCGCCTAATAATTCCAAGAGAAACATTCTCAGGAAGATGAAAAGTCCAAAGTGAAACATAGGAACGAGGTAGGGACTTAGATCCAGCCATTCTAGGTCCAAATGGGGGCATTTCAGGGAGCCTGTCCTTGTATAAATGGTTTCTGTCACCTTGAAGTAAAAGCAGAATAGTGATCATGCTTCCTGCCAGCATGGGCCTACCAAGCATATACATTGGCCTTAGATACTTTTCAGTTACAAGACACCCAGGATCCCCAGTGGACCTAATGGCTCTCACACTGGGGACCAATCTCCCCTCTAAAAAGTACACTGATAGCCAGCTTGCCTCTAGGGCCAGTGCCCTCTGTACATCATTCTTTTTCCTCTTGTTTTCTGAAGTAGAAACTGGGATTTATTTAATACAGGCATCAGGTGGATGATTTATGTGCTTCTAAGCACGGAGCTGAGGATTTAAAAGTGAAATAAACATTGTACCAGGCCCTCAAAATAGGAAGAATTCCAGCATAAGACAACAGAACAGAAAATAGAAATTCAGATAGAAGGTAACAGAACAAAACCTAGAAATACTGCACTAAAGTCAAGAAGATTCAAAAAGAACAGTAAAATGTAAAATTCTGAAATACCACAGCAATGGCCACAAGTATCTTCATATCCACAGGTGTGGAAGGAACTATTCAGGGGCTTAAGCTGACACAGATTGCAAGGGGTTTATGTACCACTAGCATACCACTCCAGTTCCCATTTCCAAGCTAACACATACCCCAAAGACCTTCCAAAGAAACAAATCACTGGAGGCAAGATTTAAAGGTTAAAAGTAGACTTCTGTCACTAATGGCTTATGGGACCTCAACTCTACTCATTCTTGCACCAACCTCTCAGGTTGAATTTCAGATTTGTGTTAGGTCTCACTCTTAGTACTTCATTCTCAAAGCAGTCCTGTGAGATAGGTAGTATTCTCTTTATTATACATTATTGAAACGATAGCCTCTTCATTTGTCCTCTAGTGATTGACACTGAATTTTAAATCTGTAAACCCAAAACTCTATAATCAGACACTGTTGAATTAAGATTCATAGTACTAGTAGTTTCTTTGCAGTAGGCTGCATTGTTTTGGGATGTATGTGTTTCTCTGACTTCATTGTAACAGTTACTAATGAAGTGTTTTTAAAAACGGTTAAAATAGAGGGAAGAATAGAGATATCACAGAAAATCTTCAGAGGGGAAAAGTGATAGTAAATCACATTACTGTCTATAAGAAAACATAACTCATTTTTCTTTAGCATAGAGAGAGAACATACCCCAACTAAATTTTATGAAGTTTGCATAACCTTAATAAAAAAATCTGGCAAAACAAGTTATGAAAGTGGACAGTTGAAGGCCATTCTCAGTCATGAATGTAAATGAAAAAAAACCAGTGAAAAATACTAGCAAAGTGAGTCTAGTAATATATAAAAAATCATTATCACCAAGTTAGGATTGTTACAGGAATACCAGGTTGGTTTTGTGGAATTTATCCCATTAAAACTCTTAGGAAACTAGGAGGAGGAAGAAATGTTCTTAATTTCTAAAGGAGAGCCATAAAAATTCTATAGGGAAAGCCATACTTAAGAAGATTACTGTTGTTTCACTGTTAAGATGAAGGGTTTATATCTTGGACAGTGTACTGGAATCCCATTGGGTACAGTAAAGCAAAAAAAGTACTGAGATTAATGATTTACATAGTTTTTGTATCCTAAGTCACTACACAAAAATGAATTGCATTTCTACACATCAAAAAGAATTAGAAAAGGGAATTTAAAAATATAAATACATAGATACTGTTTTCAGGCATACAAACAACTCCAAAGATTTCAGTTCTTCCAAATTGATAGATTCAGTGTCACTCACTAGCATCCCAACAGACTACTACATATATCCATTAAAATGTATGAGTCAGTCCGAATGACAAGCCCCGTGGGGTGATGATTGTGTAGGTATTAACTCCAAACTGATGCCACCTTTGATAGCACTTTGGTGGTCTATGTCAGGTACATTTTATGGAACAGAAATTTGGCAGTATTGAAGCAAATACCAAAAGACCTTCTAGAATCCTTATACATTTGGAGACCACTGAAAGATGATCACTTTCTTCCATGTAACAAGTAAAATTGGCCTTTTTTTAAAACAGTGACTTAGAATCTTAAGGTGAAAACACAAAAACGCGAATTTATAAATGGTCAGTCCGGGTTTTACTTACTTTTTATCACCTGGTGGCGAAATCCACTTCCTTTTTACCAAGATACGTATGCTCACATTCTGAATTACCTGCTTTTATTATTTTCATCCAATCTTTGATTTTTTTTCTAACTTTATTTGGTTTTGTTCAAGTCTTTTTTGTGTGTATGTGTGAAATGAAAAAGTCATCCTTATTTTTCTTTATCATTTGGACTCATTTTATTCTCTATGTTCACACTGTAACAAAACATTTCACTCCCACACTCTAGTCTGGTTCAGTGATTAAAAAGCCTGGATGCCAGACCCAAACTGCTGAACAGGAATCCTGGCTTCACTGTTTTTCTAGCATGGTGGTCTGGGGGATTTAAATTTCTCTTTCCTCACATGTAAATTGGGCTGGGGAGAGGGTAATGCATCTACCTCACAGGGTTGTTAAAAAGATTAAATGAGGTTAATATTTATGAATTTTTTTTACAATGAAATCAAGGTACATAAGTGTGGACCTTGATAAACACTAGCCTGGTTTTCATAACCCAGCAAAATTTTGAGCCTGCAAATCTAGATTCCTCATTTGTCAAAAGTTAATACTGTTTGTTTTGTTTTACAAACTTCAGCTCAGCTAACATTGGATTTTGAGTGACTTATGTGTGACAGCCACTGTTAAAAGTATGTGCAGTAATGTGGGTTTGTGTGGTGTGTTTCAAAACAATAGACAGATACATCCATGTGGTTAGTAAGTAGTTCGTACTTAACAAAGTGGTTCAGTTGATTAATTGTACAATAAAGAAGCCCTTGCTGTTGAAACAGGACTTCCTGAGCCCTTCATATGCATTTCCATGCATTTAGAAGATATATTTTAATAACTAATAACTGTACAGACTAGAATTTAATTTTTCAGTGATAATTCACAGACTACAACAGATATAAAATGTCAGAATTTTGAAGTTCAGAGAATTTGCAGGGTATATGTTTAAGTTTAAATTTTTAAAAAATTGAAATATTAAGTTTCATTTTAGGAATTTAGAAATTTTTAATACTTGGCTACTCACAGAATTTTCATGTTTAATATATTTAAGTTTAAAGTATAGTTGACCCTTGAACAACATGGGTTTGAAGTGCATGGGTCTACTTATACTCAGATTTTTTTCCCAATAAGCATTGGAAAAGTTTTTGGAGATTTGTGGCAATTTGAAAAAAACAGTTTCTAGCTTACTTAATTGTAAGAATATAGTATATTAACACATACACAAAATACGTGTTTTGTTTCCTATTGAAGTAAAGGGACTGGAACAAATGTTTGATCACCCATATTCATGGCAGCATTGTTCACAAAAGACAGCATCCATTGAGAGATGAATGGATAAACAAAAATGTATAATATATACATACAATGGAATATTATCACCTAAACGAAAATTGTGACATGCTACAACGTGATGAACCCTGAAGATCTGGTAAGTGAAATAAGCCAGTCACAGAGGACAAATGTACATTTCCAGTTACATGAGGTGCTTAGAATAGTCAAATTCTGGCAATCTCTTTTACCCTCTCACAAACAGCTGCACTCCCCTCTCCAGCCCCATCACCTGCCCACCCCGAATCCCCAAGTTACGACTCATTAACTGTAACTTGATAAATATAAATAAACGTGCTTATTTAATTTAGGTACTTTTAGAAACTGAAAGTCTCTGAAGTTTCTAAGATTAGAAATTTCTTCATTCATTTTTGGAATACTGTGGAAGATTGAGTAGATCCGAAGTTTATGAGAAGAAAAAAGTATCCTAGTTGTACAGTTTTAGAACTAGAAGAAACATTAATAAGTAGTTCAAACATCTCATAGAAAAGGAAAATTGGGTATAAAGAGACTGACTTCCCTAAACTCACCAACTTGTTAGTAGTAGTAAAGAATGGAAAGCTAGGTCTCTTGTTTAGTAGCTTAGTGGTTTCTGGACTACACTATAGTCAATTAGAAGAATTGACTGGGTAGAATCCTTAATTGCATTACTGGGCAAATAGTTAAAACTGTAAATGTTCTCAAATATTTTTAAAGTATCTGCTTTACCAAAAAGAAAAAAAAGATGAAAAAAGTTAGGGGTACCAACACTCGCACTGTCAGATCTCTGTAACTTTTGACCTCTTAAAAACTTTTAACCTGCTTATCACCTGCTGACCTGAATCCGTACCAATGATGTATTTGATAAAATTGTGTTATGTGTTATGTATTATATACTGTGTTCTTACTGTAAAGTTGGCTAGAGAAAACATTTTTCAAACTGCCTCCAAGAAATTTTACAGTGTATTTGTTGAAAAAAAAATCCACATGTAAGGGGACCCGTGCTGTTCAAAACCATGTTGTTGAATGGTAAGCTGTACTCTATCCTCAGAAATTCTCTTTTAGCAGTGGCTATAGGATTTACGCCTGTATCCAATCAACCCTATTCAGACTAGAAGTCTTTTGTGTCAACAGTATTATATATAAGTATAAAAAACAAACTCAATTTAGTTATTTGCTGGTAAATATGAATAGTCCGTGAAGAAGCACTCCCAACAGCATGCAAATCCAAGATGAACAACTAAAGAACAAACATTACCTGATCTGACACAGATGGACTGAACAACAACAAAAATTTGTCTTAGTGTCCTAAGATTCTTAAGAGGACATTGCACTCCTTAAACAGTTTTAATGTTAAAATTGGTTTTACACTCTAGAATAGTACAATAGTGATCTGTAAAATAAGCTAGAAGAAACTCCCTAGAACAATGAGCTGAAAGAGAAAGGGAGAAAGGCAAGTTAATGGATATATTGATAGTTCTAGGGTTCTTAAATAGGAATTCTGGTGGAACAGAGAAGGTGGAAAGGAAATAGAGAAATAGGTAAAGAAGGCCCTGGGGCTTTGGAACCTATTAAATATAAAACAAGATGAAGAATAACACATTTAGATATAATCTCATAAAATTAAAGAATACAGAAAAAATTTAATCTTTCTGGTAGAGACATGGGAATCACTTCAAAAAAATTAGGTAAGTAATATGGCATCGTGATTGCATGCTAGAAGATAAGAGCCAATGATTTTAATTGAGGGAAATGAAACCTTAATTCTGAAGCATGCCTAGTTTGCCATAAGTATGAAATCAAAATAACTATGAAAGTGTGCATAAAAATGTGGTTTGCATGCCTAGGCCCTTTGGAAGGAGGCAGGACAAAGTACTTATAGATGTAGTCCAGCAAAATAAAAAGGAACCACAAAAAGGCTAAAATGTGAGGTTAAGGAACAAGGAACAAGAGAAGTTTATGATGAAAAGAAATCCTGGGTGGATAGCTGGGCTGTGAACTGGCCCAGAACATAAACTGTTGAAGATTAAAACAGAACTCACAGGAACATAGTCAAAGATTTTTTAACATCTTTCTACGTTGATAGTAACCACAGTAGAAGAGGTGGACTTAATAATGTGGGTAACTGACTTGAACCACTGTGATATACAATTGAAACCAACATAAGATTGTATATTAACAATACTTAAAGTAACTCATGGTTATCTAAGAATGTCTTCAAACACAACATAGATTTTATTGCACAAATTCTCAGAATGAGAAGATGGAATATGTTAATATAATAAAAGTTTATGGGTTTTCTGAAAATTTAAGAGGCAGAAAGTAGGAAAATTCAGGAGTCTCTTAAAAGTCCAGATGTGAAGTAAATTGAAATATACCTTATTTATCATGGGCAATTATCAGAGCATTAACACCCGAACACTTGGATTTAGTGACAAAATAGCTACTCACTTTGGGTTTTATCACAGTTTGGATGGCAGTGAATAATGTAAATACTTTTTATTGTTGCCTAATTTTAAAAGTCAACCTATAGAGAAAGCACAGAAAAACTAAGTTGCGAAACAAACGGCAAATAATGTGAAACTTAATCTGAGATGTTTTATATATAGTATATTTATATAATATCTAATTTATAGTATTTGTAGTATAACCAATAATAATGATGTATGATTAATGGGGATCCAGTAGAAACTTTTGAAATTGCTAGGACAAGAAATGAAGACTCAAGTATAATATTTACAGTTATAGCCAATAAAATCCAAAACTAACAAATCAGAATGAGCAGTGAAGGGAAAAAAGAGGTAAATTCTCTGAATCTTTCATAATGAAGATACATTGTAATAGAGGATAAATACATGAGTGTTAGTAAACACCAGAATTAAAAACAAATGACTCAAAATAGTAATTTCTGGGGTTGAAGCAAGTTTGGGTTTGGGTTAGTGTAAGATTAGGGAAGAGACTTTTTAAAAAATTTTAATCTAATTCATGCAAGCATGCATATGTTTAAAAAGCCAGGTGATTGTACAAACTTTGTTAGGAAAATTGGCAATCCCAGGCCTCCATCTCTTTGATATATTCCTTCCCAGGGGCTTTTAGTTTCTTTGAAGAATTCTTTTGATATTTACCTCCATATCTCTAGATAATAACATTACATGTCTATCTCTTACGTGTTAACATCCCACTTACAGGACAGATATAGCTCTCTCCCACCATTGTTGACACACATCCTTCCCATTCCCTCAGTTTCCCTATGTAACCTCCCTTATCAGTATCTTTGGATCTTTCAGATTAATCTGATTGCCCAGAAAAGTTCTTCCAGTGGAAACCTCTGGTATTCTGAGTTAAGAGTATCTAAATTCTTAAACTGACATTTTTTAAATTTTTTATTAAGGTATGATATATACATTCTTATGAAGGTTTCACATGAAAAAAAAATGTGGTTACTACATTTACCCATATTATCAAGTCCCCACCCATACCCCAATGCTCTTAAACTGACATTTCACCTGTAAGCCATTATTTTGGCCTTACAGGGAGACTTATTTTTATTTTTTTAACTTAGTGATTTGAGGTTTTTAAAACCAGGCCGTGTAGTTATTTCATAACTATGATGTTATTTTTAAATTATATCAAATATTATATAGTTTACTTAATAGTTATTTGAATGTATGTTATCACCATTTACATTTCTATCTTTTGACTCTGGCTCCAGCTTATTTACTACTTGATAAGGAATGTCTGACGGGGTACTTACTCATATCAAGTGCTGAGTTTTATCATCTTTTTTATAACTCTTAGAAATTCAAATTGGAATACCAGTAATGTGAACCCTCTTTTTGAAAAAGATTGTGTTAATCATTTATAATTATCAATTATCAGTAATCCTTAAATTTTCTGGAACTTCTGATGACTTCAGTTAGATTATATTGTGGTAATGTGGGTATTATACAGTGTGGAATGTATTGAGAAAGTGTTCACCTGGAAAGTTTCCCAGAAACAGATTGTACTTTATAAATGAAGAGGAAATAATGTGTATTTGTGGAATGTCTCTACCAGTGTACTATGACAGCTTTTTTGTGAGTGTTAAGGAGGAGCATGTTTTTTTAAAGTCTTTCAATAGAGGTGCCAAAACTGATGATTAAAAACATGTGTCTGTTCACGTTTTATTTAGCTTATGCCCAGCAACAGGTAGAGGCAAGATTTGGAAAGCTTAGCTAATTTAGCATTTTCCAATTTCAGTCACCAAGAGCTTTATGGGAATATGATATTAGCATATGCAAAAATCTGCAACCTGTCCTTTTGCTTAATCAGGAAGACTTGATACACTTGTTAGGGCATTGTTTAAGAGGATCAACAGGATTTTAAGTCTTTATAGAATACTCAATGGGCTATTTTCAGTAATTAATTGGTTGGCTAATAGTCACAAATCCTTCTCTAGTTTCTTATGATTGACTTGGAACTCCAGTGTATAGGAACTTTTCAAGAATGTGAATCCCTTTGACACATCAAAAGCATATATTATTAAAATGTACAGATAGCCTCATTGATTTCCATTGCTCAGTTGTAATAAAATTTTTTAATAGAATTGGTTTATATGTTACAGTATTTTTGTCAAGATACATTCTTCCAAAGCAGTACTGTGTACTAAAACTCATTTAGTTCTATGTGGTTTACAGCGTTCCACAAGAAGAGCTTTAAGAAAATTGCCTATTTTGATGAAAAGGCCAGGAAGGAAGGAGCGCCATTTCAACATAGTACGGATATGAAGCATATAAGCTTTAGTTCTGGATTCCCTGGGTTTGAAAAGTTTTAGTTCAGCACTGTCCAGTAAGACTTTCTATGGTCATGTTCTTCCTGCATTGTGCAATTTGGTAGCCACAAGTCATGTGTGGCTAGTATGATTGAGGAACTGAGTATTTAATTTTAATTAATTTAAACATAAGTAGCCATATGTAGTTACTGGCTCCTATGTCAGTGTACTAAGTATTAAGAAACAAAAGATCCAAGTATAGAAATGACTACATTGACGTCTGTAGAACTTCTGCTACAAATAGTTTGCATGGCATAGTTGATAGGCAACAAGCCTTAATATCCACCTTGTGTTATAATATTGTCATAGAT